CAGCTAACAAAGTTCATGGCGAATGGAAACAATTAAACCGCCTTTGAAGCGTTTTTTAATTAAGTTCATTGTGAATAGCGATGTGTTTGGCGGCCATCATTAGGAAAGGGAAATTCGCCGTTGAATGGGAAGGCAGCATGAAAAAAGGCATTTATCAAGCTCTAATTAGAGCAGCCAACCAAAATTTCGCGCATTTGTATAATTTACAGGAGAAATTTCTTGAAAAGGCAGCTGTGCCCCTTCAAGGGCAACGCGTAATGAAAATCTGCCAACGCATGCATGAAAATGTTTTTAGCAATTTAAATGCGGCCCCAGCGACAGACGACAGACGGCAGGGGACATTAACAACAACGAAATTACTAAACAATAATCATAATTTGTGGTATTAAACGACAGCAGAGCAGGAGTGCGAGAGTCCTCTTTATCGCCGACCTCGTCCTCGTCCTCGTCCTCGATCTCGCTTTACGGCCAGCGCTGATAAAGTGTCGCTGTGCAATTTATCTGAGCTGTGAGGGAGCTGGTGGCCAGGTGCCCAGTGCCTGGTGGCTCGCGGCTCGTGGTTCGCGGTTCGCGGTGCTCGCTTGTCGGCGCCTGGGGACCCAATCCAAATACCAAGTCGGACGGTGCGGAGCGACTGCACCTGTCACGTGGGAAAACACGTTCCGGTAATTTATGAGTCATACATTTGAGTTCTGCACTTTTATTTGGCCTGCGGTTAGGTGGCGCTGCTCACGCGCGAATTTTATTCACATTTTTTGTTGTTGTTTGTGTTTTCCTTTTGTAGGCAAACAAACCGCAAAAGTTTTTCACTGCTGAATTTCTAAAAATAACACCGCTTTTGCAGTTATGAGTAACATATATGTACGTACCTACGAGCAGGGAGAACGGGCAGCGAGAGATTGACGAGCAAATTCACAACTAAAAGTTTTGGGCAATGATTTATTCTGCCAAATGTTTTCCTTTGTTACAAATTGTGAACATTATTCGCGGAATACATGGAGCAAGAGTATCAACAATAATGAGGTAAACAAAACACATAACTTGTTGTATATTTGTTTAATGTTGTTTCTTAGCAAAATATTTGCATTATAATTCAGCTAAGGCAGCTGCATGACAAAAGCTGAATGCTATGAGACTCGTTG